GGAAAGAGATGCAAGAAACACACATTGCTGAGTGAGACACCGAGGGACCAGCACTGCTGGGAAAGAGACTGTGAGAGACTGTTGGCTGAGGGATGGTATGCTGGGAGAGAGACTGAGCATTTTTCCTGAACTTGAATTGTAGCCTTTGGTACTTCCCTAATAAACCGTATAATCTGTGAGCTCTGTGTGGCCACTGCAGCGAATTACCGAACCAAGGAGAGAGGTGGTGCGTGCTTTGGGAGGAACAGTTAGAGAAAGGGCTGGAGGGAAGCAGCATGTCTGGCCTCGCAGGAATAGGCCTTGGGCTACTGATGGTGATTCTGTCTTCCTCTTTTGGGATTAGAGGAGGTCAGAACATGTGGCCTCCTTGCCCTTTTCGCAAACATAGAGTAGAAAAGCAAATGGAAGAATGATGAAATAAGAGCTGAACAGAAGATTTCAAATGTAAGCTGCAGAAGACAATAACTGGTAAAAACAAGGCTCCAGGAATAGATGGGAAGCCCATGGAGATGTTTCAACAAACAGATGCAGTGCTGGAGGTGCTTAATGGTTTATGCCAAGAAATTTGGAAGACATTACTTGGCTAACCAACTGGAAGAGGTCCGTATTTGTGCCCATTCCAAAGAAAGATGGCAATTATCAAAGACTATCATTAATATCACATGCAAGTAAAATGCTAAAGAGAAAAAATAGCTGTAGCAGTATACTGACAGAGACCTTCCAGAACTTTAAGCTGGATTCAGAAGAGGATATGGAAAGACAGTATCACTGCAGATGTCAGATGGATCTTGGCTGAAAACAAAGAATACAAAAATATATTTACCTGTGTTTTACTGACTATGTAAAGGCATTTAATTGTGTGAATAACAAATTATGTATAACACTGCAAAAAATGTAAATTAGAGAATACTGAATTGTGCTCATTGAGAAACCTGTAATAGACCAAGATGCAGATGGTCAGACAGAACAAGGGGATACTGTGTGGTTTAAAATCAGGAAAGGTATAAATGAAAATTGTATCCTTCTACCATGCTTGCTTACTGATGAAGATCAAATACTACAGTCTTCAGTATGGATTCCATTCCATAATGAAAACAAACATCCTCACAACTGAACCAATAAGCAACACAATAATAAATGGAGAAAAAAATTGAAGTTGCCATAGATTTCAGTTTACTTGGATCCAAAATTAACACCCATGGAAGCAGCAGTCAAGAAATCAGATGTCTTATTGCACTGGGAAAATCTGCTGCAAAAGACCTCTTTAAAGTGTTGAGAGTAAAGATGTCATTTTGAAAACAAAGGTGCACCAAACCATGGTATTTTCAATTGCCTTTTATGTGTGTGAAAGCTGGACCAATGCCTTTGAATTGTGGTGGTGTTGAAGAATACTGAAAATACCACAGACTGCCACAAGAATGAACAAGTCTGTCCTAGGAGAGTGTAGCCAGAATGTGCCTGAGAAGTGATAATAACCAGACTTCATCTCACCTACTTTGGCCATGCAGAAGAGACCAGTCCCTGGAGAAGGATATCACATTTGGTAAAGAGGGTCAGCAAAAAAGGGGAAGAAGGTCTCTAAGATGGATTGTGATGTTGTGCCTACAACAAGGGGCTCAAGCACATCAAGGATGTAAGGATGCTGCAGGACCAGGCAGTGTTTTCTTTTGTTGCTCCTAGGGTCAATGAGTTGTGCGGTGTAGTAAATTACTTAGTGTGGCTTTTCTACCCATAAGTCTTTGTAAACTCTAAGGTGGGAATTGCTATTAGCTACGGAGGAGATCCTGATTTTAAAGTCGCCCACCTGGGTTATTTCTGTTGGGCGTGGCACAATACAATGTTCTGGGAAGTTCCCACTCTCTCTCACATGCTTAGAGTT